TCGTGTTGGGTTTCTGGCATGTCATTAAGTTGGTCACTCAGTCGCTGCATTGGATGTGTGTCAGGCGGTCTGGCCGAAGGTTAATCTGTCAAGAAGTTCGTGAGTCTTTCTCTAAATCAGTCTCTTTTCCAGTGCATCGGTGACAATGCAAGTCACTGAGTCTGTCATCCGATGACTGTTTGCTGATTACAGGACCGGACGTTGTTATTTTCGCCATTTGGCAGGTCATCGTTTTCGAGATTGTGTTGTCGGTATTGCACCGTCCACCACGCACCACACGCATGGCGCGGGAGAGGGCCGCCCATCTGTCATGGATAACGCACCAGCCAGTTTCACGCCTGATGACGGCAGGTCAGCAGAACGGCCACCCACTTGGCCCGCGCGTGGCAACGCCACGCCGGTGTCACCGCATGCCAGACAGCGCGGTTTGCTGGGAGTATCCCCTTATGGCAGCCCGGATGACATGCGATCAACAAAGAGGCCGCATGTTCACTCTCTTTCGCCTACGGTCGTCGTCACTCCCGGCGTTGCAGTTGTGCATTCTCCGTTGCCGCCCTTGTTGCCGTCTCCAGTGCGCCGTCCATACACTCTAGTACACCCTCTGTCGGATTTCGATGCGTTGTGTTTTCCTGTGCTGTCGCTGCCATTGCAACCTCGCCGTTTGCAGTTTCTGTCGTGTGTTGCGCAGCCATTTCCTCCTCCTCCACTTTTCGTTGGACGCGACGGGTTGGACTCCATCCCCCTAGAGGGGTGTTCTCAATCATCAGGAGCGGTGTTTGGAAGTGGAGGGTCCACACTGCGTGACGGAGGACGTCGGAGTGTAGAACCGCGGGTCTCACATTCGTTCGCCGCATCAGGCCATGGGCAGGGGGGTGTATTGGATGATGCACGTCGTGCCTCTGCCGGGGACACACATGACCGTAATTCCGCCCGGCGCTCTCTCGTCTCCTGGTTCGACGAGGATGACAATGTGTGTGGTAGCGGAGATGGGCCCGACCGTTGCGATCCTGGCGCTCAAAATCTTGGAGCAGGTCGTTGTGAACATTCGGGCGGGTCTTTGGGGCAATTTGGTTCGCAGTCAACTGGTTCCGCGAAGTACTCGCGTTTGTTCCTGACTGCCGCCTGCAAGGAGAGACTGCGCCTTTTACAATCTGCGATGAAAGAAGTGAGCGACAAGTCTTGGGTCATGAGCGATGTCGTCGACCGACTGTTGCATTGGTCATTGCCAGCCATCCGGTAAGAGTTCGGGGACGGTGTGGCGTCGAGGATCGAGAGAACACTACCGGCCGGTAGTCGTGCAGATGTGTTTCATCTCGGAGCAGAAGGGGATGATTTGACAGCGGACGCTGAGGATGATGGCGAGCGTGATGGTGAAGGGAGCGGTGGAGGCAATGGCGAGTCATTTTGTGGGTCGGATGATTCACTACCGCGTTCAGGGCACGGGTCACAGCGTGGCTGCAGATCGCGCGGGCGGCCACCAAGCCATGGCAGGTCGCGTTCGCATTCCGAACATGTACGTCCTTTGTGTTGGGACGATCCAAGGATGGTGCTTTGCAAACCGGACCTTGCAATAATCGGTCTGCACATGTGTTGGAATCGATGGGGCACTGGGAAGGCTCGAAAGCGCCTGATATCGTCTTCGTGGAGCCGGTGAAGCTGCTGCAGTTGCTCGGGTTGTTTGATTTGAGTTGCCCGCGCCACGGGGGCGGTTGTGCTGTGGATGTGTCCTCTGTCGGTTATCCTGGGCAGATTTGTCGCATTTCGCTCGCTTGTGAGAAGTCATGTCGTTGGACATGGCACAATGCATTGGTTGGGGGAGCTGTGTACTCTTGCAGACTTCAGCAGCAGTTGTTCCATGCAACCGTCACTGCGGGTATGACATATACCGTCCTCAACGACTTCTGCATCGCGTTTGGGGTGGCACCTGTGCACAAACCCACTTTTTACAGTTGCATGCTCAGTGAGCCGAATGTGCGTGAGGGTTGGAATGCAAAGGTTGTCAGGCAGAGCGTGCGGTATTGCGACTTGGCCATTGACACGTTATGCGATTAGGGAGACCCGTCACTTTGATGGTTGACGGTCGCTACGATTCGGCCAGGTCTACGCAGCATTGCACTGTTACCGCGATTGAGTGTGATACTCGTTTTGTGGTGGGTGTTCACACTCTTCGGCCAAAAAATGAGGGAAACGCGTCGAACCAACTTGAGGTTCCTGCTGTTGTGCGCCTGTTGAGAGGCTTGCTGTCGAGGGGGTTGAAGATCCGGTGTGTTGTCTCCGACGATTGTGCTGCATTGGGTCCACAGTTGGAGCGCCTGGGTATTGAATAGTAGAAGGATTGCCATCATAAGGTAAAAAACATTCGCAAGGCACTTAGAAAAGTCGTGACGCTGAAGGTGCCAAAGAAATTGAACAACCCTCATCAGTGTGTGTCGAAATCTCAGTTTATGGAGTTAACGAAAAAGGAGTTGTTGGATGCCTTGATGGACCGTTATGGACCAGAGTCTTTGACGGCAAAAGAAGAACGATTGAAGAAGAGCGACTTCGTTGCTCTTGTGATGAGCAAAATATACCCGTACGGCACGATGAAAAACAACAAATCTTTGGTCGTGGATGCATATGGTGTGACTGAGTTCCATATGCATGAGGTGGGGCATTGGTTTCTTCGTGCTTCCCAGCTTTGCAGAGATGAGGGCGGCGACTTTGTCACTCTGCACAATGATGTCATGATGATCGCCGACCATTGGGCCGGGGACCACTCCAGGTGCGTTGCGGACAGAGAGCTTCTATGCTCAAAGGCGGATGGCCCATCTCGGCTGCCTTTGTACATGCACGACGACCCCGTGTATGACATCATTCGCCAGACGTTGGGCAGGCATTGCAGCACGACCGTTTGTTCGTACTACACGGAGTTCCGTCATACGTCGACGGTTGAGACCTTCCAGGGCACAATCATCATTTACGCGAAGAAGACCTTGCACTTCGAGAAGTCGTATGAGCTGCGTTTGGCGATTGCAGTCATTCGATGGAACAGTCATGCATGGCAGGATCCCTTGGAGTATCGTGTCCACAGGCCTTCGGGGACTTCGATTCGTCCAAGGCCGAGCCACTACCGTCACAATCGGCCACCTACCGATTCGTGGATGAATCGACTGTCCACGTTCATCTTCAGTTCAAAATGTGTTTCAGATTGGGCTCGACGCCTTCTCGAGTACGACGACTGTGATGTGTCGGGGTCGGCTCCTTGACACCTCCTCTGCCTCGCGATCTTTTTTGCAGAGGCGAGGATACCATTGCCCGTGACGAGGACGACGTTGCTTCAGGTGTGGATCCCGACGTTGTGGGGGATGACGATGTTTTCATCATTGGCAACGGGGATGGGTTGCCTGGACCGGCGGATGCCTTGTCCGATCGATCATGCGATTCTCTATTGGATGCAGATGATGTCGAGTTGTTCGACGACTGACATCATGTTTTGTGGTACATGCGACTTTTATGTTTTTCGACTTTTTAGTTTGACGTGTTGATTGTATATATATATATATATATATATATATATATATACATATATATATATATATATATATATATATATTTTCAGTCTGACTGCGAAGACTCATGGCGAGGCTGTATACTACCCCGTAGGGTTAAATTTGTAATTTCGTTTGACTCGGGCGTAACCGTGAGACCAACCTATGAGGAAAATTCATGAGGGTCACATTTGTAAATATGGGAAATATAGGCCCAACATTATTTCAAATTTCCTATACGTACACTTACTGCGAAGAGCAGCCGGACTACCCCCAAGACAGACAGGCCCTAATGGCCAGAGCTGATGGACGGTCCTATAGTATATAGTCGGGTCTGGTAGAGGCCGAGAGGGCGAAACTGCAACGGTATTGGTCGGTTAGTCAGTCCGGTCTACGTGTAGGTTAGAGTACTGTACTCTATTAGTAGAATGAGGRAAATCGATTGGGGAYRAAGSGACTGTAAYAAACWSTRTWATGATATTCGTTCGAGTTGGCTCATYATCARCATCATATCAATTRTGATTTTRYTGAGKTTCTTTATTGTGATTGTTTGTTGGGAGTTTGTCGGAGAGTGAGAGTCATTGTGTAACCTCCCCCATGTGTGCATGGTTGAATTGCGCTGCTTATCCTTGTCTGTGTGCRKKWTTGACTYTGTCACCTCTCCCCCTCTTGTTATGCATGTGTGGGCGTGTTTTATATTGTATGGGTGGTTAGGTGTTTTAAAAAACAAAATCGTCTCCCCCTGTTCTTATGCATGTGTGGCCGTGTTTGAGAATATCTGTGTGTGAGCGCCGGAAAAAATCGTAAGACAACCAAATGATATATATATATATATATATCACACATCTGATGGTATCTCATGTCTTGTGTTTGATTAATTTTTTTTTCTTTTCCTCCTCTGCGTATAGATATTATTGAACCAATGTCAAGTTACACATACATCCATGATACTTCACATGCTTACGCACTTAGGCAACAGTTAGATCGCACATTATATAGCCGAGCCAATTCAGATTTTCACGTTGATCCAATACTGCAATGACATCCAGTTGCAACAATAAATGAATGAACTTGAGTGGCGAGAGCGAGGATTAGAATCGCTCAGACTCCATTGTCAATGGTACAATGACATACAATTGCAAAAATAAATAAATGAACTTCAAATGAGAGATCGAGGATTATAAGAAGAAGAAGATTATGTACAGCAGGGAAACCAAATTTTACATAATGCAATCCCTGCAAGTCACGACAATAGGTAAGTACCGTGCCTGATGGCCTGTCGAACAAGCACGGGCCGTTACGGGTCACACCAAAAGTAACCCCCACGCTTAAGTTTACGATCGCGCACACACACTCAAGGCAAACACACAGTCTCCCTGACAAACGTACTCAGATTGTAGGCAAGCATACTCTCTCTCTCTCTCTCTCTCTCTCTCTCTCTCTCTCTCTCTCTCTCTCTCTCTCTCTCTCTNCTCTCTCTCTCTCTCTCTCTCTCTCTCTCTCTCTCTCTCTCTCTCTCTCTCTCTCTCTCTCTCTCTCTCTATCTATCTATCTATCTATCTCTCGTGAAGCATTTACCGCCGTGCACGTCGATGTGGGCGCGCGTTTTCAGGAGGATCAAATTGTCGTAGTTCAAAACCTCGAATAATTGTATCTGGCCATCGTTCCCGCATTGCGTCTTGGAACTCATCTGGCAATCTCTGTCGGAAAACGACGAACCCGCATAGCCGAGAAAAAGCGACATATCCATTGTAACGATTTTGCTTCGGTTCGAGATTTGCACGACCAATAAGCAGATTCATGCACTGTTGCAAATGCTCCTCTAGGCCAGCAAAAGTCACAGCCTCCTCCAAAAGCGCTGCGGGTCCCGGCCACCGGCTCCTAATCTCAGCGACTCTCAGCTCCTCATCGCAGAAAGGATCAGTATCTGTCCCATTTCCAAATACTACTGCATCGGCCCGCACGCCAACCCTGCGTCGTCGACGGTCCATGTATTTGAAAGGGTGAATATTGTTATGTCGCTTATGTGTGATTTTTTTGAAATCTACAAAACAGAACATTACGGGCACCGATTACCTTAGTACTGTACCTATTGTACCTCCACATAACGAAAACGAAAACAAATTTCAGAACACAAAGTAGGCAATTTTTTATTTTAATACCGAAAACATATAACAAACACATGGGAGATAAGGTTTGCATATGTATAAAGAGAGAATATACAATCATTGAAACCATCATTTTATCTCTCTCCAATAGCGAAGAAACTAAGAAAAAAATTAACGAATGGTATTCATCGTTGAGTCACACTGCAAGGATAAAACATGACAGAGAAATCCTCGCCATTAGAGACACAATAGGGCGGTGTCGGGTGCATCGGTCCGGCACCGCCCATGGCAGCGCGGGACCCTCTCGACCTTGTCACGCAGGAGTTGGACCAACTTTGCCACGAACACACAAATGGAGCTTCCTTAGGCCGCTCCGGCCGAGTGCGCCAGCCATACCTCTCGCGAGCCGCTACGACAGGATAGGGCCTACGCGAGGCACGACTTACCTCCACCTTACGGGAGCTGTCACCTCCCTTCGGTGGGCATATGCCCGCCGAGCTACCAGTCCACAGTACGAAAGCTACTCGGTTGCAATCGCAGAGGTGGACCAGCCGAGGGCGTTTCTCGTTCACTGTAGCATAGGGGGTACGAGCGGTAATACGCCTATCGGACCCGCACGCGAACCGATATCTCGGGGGGCTGAAGTCCCAAGTGCGGCTCATCGTCGGTCGACTAGGACGCATCCCACACACCACGCGCACACCACTTTACGAACACAAAAATAAAACGCACACACACGCACACGAAACGACACAACACAAACAACCCGACAACGCTCCTAGCCCCTCGGTAACCATCCTATAACTTTTCGGCGCGGAAATCGAATAGGCGTCGCGCGCGAGACTCGGTATAAAACCGTGCGGACGCAGGGCTAACTCATGTCGACTCGCAATGCAAGCGTACGCAAGCGGTCGAAGTGATGGCGTACTATGTAGTACCCATACTCATGCGGTCCTCATTAATCTCGAGGGTCGCATTCGACACTCAAGTGTCGACTGACACGCGCCTTGAGGGTTAATCTCTCGACGCTGGACAACCGCCATGCGCGGTTGAAGACCACATACCCTTTTCTGCACCCTGTGCAGAGTGGGTGGTACACAGGTCCATACATGTGGTGGCAGTCATTTCTTACTGCCCTGGAGATGAGTCCCCCTCCAGGCCTGGGCGGAAGTCAAGGGGTTTGACTTTGACGGCTGCCACGGACTACAACGTCCAACAACACAAACTCTAAAAAACAAAGAATAAAGGGGGTCTTACTTTTCTCTCAATCATAGTCTGGTTAACCCTTTGCGCACGATCTCAGTAAGCCACGCACATACCCAAGGCACATATAGTTATATATATATATATATATACAAAGCTTATTTATATAGGACGATCACTTCTCATAGTCACAGTGGGACTCCTCTCAGCCACATATATATGTAATCGCAGACATTCACATCCAGAAGCCGAACCACAAAACATACCTGCAATCACATCAAAGATACAACAAAGGTCCACGCACTACACGGGGTCAACTTCAACCATTCTCTATGCTCATACCCCTCGCTTTAGCCACGCAAACCTCACTTTTGTGCAACTTCCCAAAATAAATACTCAGTACTTTTGTTAAATGACCATTCAATAAAGTCCGGGTAAAAACACAATAAAACAATTCAAACCACAGGGCTAAAGCCTTTAGGTTGAGTGGCAAGAGTGGATTGGAGTTGAATCGTAAACCGACGAATCGGCAACCGACCTGTTATCAGTGATAACAAAAGATGATACTCATAGGATCAAGCTGAAACTAGTCAAAGTCCTGAATCGAATGTCCAAGAAAGGCTTGTACCATAAGACAGGTCAATGCCCAAGCTAAATCATCAGCATATAGGGGATGAACCTCCATAGCACATTCTCACTCAAAGTCACCTGCCAACTAAGTCTAAGCCTACCTTTAAGCCATTGCCCAAAACAAAGGTAAACTAATGGCAGAATTTTCCCTATTCAGGGTGGATCGCCAGAATCGCTACCTGTCGAAATATAATCTAACTCCTCTAAATCAAGAAAATTTCGACAGCGCTTCCCGTAAGAAAAATGTCTTTTCGAAATTTGTATCAGCCTGAATATGAAAACAGAAATAGTCTTTGACTTTCCAAGGTCCAATTTTGTCTAACTCCCTGAATTAGCAAAAATTTGGGCAGCACTCCCTTTAGAAAATGAGACTTTCCAAATTTTTACTAAGTCATGTATAAACTTTAGACAAGTTGAACTTTGACAAGTCAAAATTTGACTAGCTGCTTGGATTTGCAGAAATTTCGGCAGCGCTTCCCGTAGTGAAAGTAGCTTACCAAAATTTATACAAAGCCAAATATAACAAAAGATCCCGGAAAATGCGAGAATTGATCTAAGTAAAAATAAAGTTAGCTCAGAAAATGCAGGAATTGACCTAACTCTTATCGCTCTAGCACGTGGCGAACCACTAAAGCAACTACCTATCAAACTAAAACTCAGACCAAGAAGTAGCCTCACTCAGTCACATGCAGGGCCAAACCACAAAGGTAAGTACTCTCGTCATCCCAAGTCAAACTTTGCAAACAATAGTTCGTAATCTCTCGATACTTTATTCCCCTATACCCAGCTTACATAGGGCATAAAGTCAAGTCGTTCAATTTTATGGAACC